TTCGCTGTATTGTTCTTGAGTTAAAAAATTGCCAATGAAGTTTTATTACCTAAAGAGAGAATGTGAAAAGCAAACGCACTAAACAAAATTAAAGAAAATTTATTTAAAACAGGCAGTATAGTGGTTTAACGTATTTTCTCAGTCAAGTACTGATTAGAAAGCAAATGGTACTACCGAGCTTTCTATTAACTACACCCATTTTATTTTCACTCTGGAAGTTTACTTTTGAAAAATGCAATACTAATTTTGAATTCCTTCAATTTCTTCAGACATGAGTGTGGCATTAATCTTTCTCAGACCCTGTATTTATTTTGTATTAACTATTCTTTCTCTATTGATGTATTGTTCAATAGACCTCTGGAATCCAGCTTCTAAAATGGGTCTGGAGAGCTTTGAGCTCTTCCAACACTGAATCATTACTGCACTTATACATCATAATATAATTCTAACAACTGTGCTCACCTCCCAGAGATGAGTTACAAAAGCTGATACAATTTCTGTGTTGCTTTCTAATGGACAAGAATGAATTGCTGTGTGAGAAACCAACTGACAGTCATACTTCAAGCTTATCGGAATAGCAGCATGGTAGAGAGAAACTGAACCCAGAATCCACCACTGTGAATGGTCCAGCTCCAAGCATGGGCTACATTAGACATCAAGCTGCCATCAACAGTGATTTATGAAAGACTCTAAGTCATAAGGAGCTAGTTTTTCCTGCTTAATTTACTGAGTCATTTCACAATGCATACCAATAAGCATCATTGTCGGAAGCCATTATTCTTCTACTAATAAGTTTCTTGAAACCAGTGCTATCACTTGATTTGTTTTCATCTCTTTACTGAAAAAGTTTTGTGTAAGGTTTACAAGAATAAGGGAATGTTACTAAAGCTTTATTACTTTAAATGAACACTTTTTGATACAATCTTTCTTTCAATGGTTCATAGGCCCAGAAAGAAAACACTCACAATCTACAACTCAAGTTCATTAAGGAAAAAAAAGGCTGAAATGAACTTGGCAATTTAGACAAAAGGTATTATGTAATGTCATATATGAGAGCAATTCACCCACTACTCAGAACAAAAATAAAGCAAATTATACTAATTAACTGGCAATAGATAGACAAAAAATTGTATGTTTTTAAAGAACTATATAAAACCAATATTGATCAAGTTAGTTAATCTATGTACTCAGGTATATATATTTTCTTATATTTATTTATATTTATTTTACAACAGTTTGGGAGGTCTAACTTTTAGAAATAAAGACAGAAACATATCAAAAGAAAAAATAAACTAACCCACAAACAGAGAACCACACGGAAAACTGAGTGAATAATAATGCAGTTTATTGGATACAGTGTTTATTGAGGTTGTATGAAGTTATGGGTTCGAACTTCAAGAATATATAAAGCCAGGCAGGCATGGTAGCACAAGTCTGGAGTTCCAGGACTCTGTAGATGTCATCAAGAAGTGCATAAGTTCAGGGTGATTGCACTAGCTAGTTTTGTGAGTCAACTCTTGACACAAGCAAGAGTCATAAGAGAGGAAGGAGCTTCAGTTGGGGAAATGACTCCAGGAGGTCCAGTTGTAAGACATTTTCTCAATTAGTAACCAATGGGGAAAGACCTAACCCTTAGTGGATGTTGTCATCACTATGTTGCTTGTCCTGTGTTCTATAAAAGAAAGGGACAAGCCAGCCATGGGGCACAAGGCAGTAAGCAGCTCTTCTCCATGCCCTCTGCATCAGCTCCTGCCTCTTGGTTCCTGCCCTGTCCTGATGTCCTTCATGACAAACAACAACGCTGAAGTGTAAGCCAAATAAACCCTTTCCTACACAACTTGCTTTATTGGACTTGGTGTTTGATCACAGTATAGAAATCCTAAGATGGTGATCCTCAGCTCCATGGTAAGTTTAATACCAGTCTTGGATGCTTGAAACACCTTATCAAACACCAAACAAAAAAACAAAGAGAATCCTCGAGGTTTAGATCAATTCTACCCATACTGTTTCTCCAACGCACTAAGATCTTCAGAAAAATTTTAGTGAGTAACTAAGTCCACACACAAAAAAAGACTGCTTAGCAGGCCAGTGGTGGTGCACACCTTTAATCCCAGCACTTGTGAGGTGGATCTCTGAGTTGGAGGACAGGCTGAACTACACAGTGAGTTCCAGGAAGCCCAGGGATACATATATAAACCCTGTCTCATAAAACTAACCAACCAAACAAACAAACAAGTAAACAAAAGAATTTACTTCTTGTCTTACCCGTGGCTTTATACTTTATAATAACTTATTAAGTGATGACATAAGAGTTAAATTTATACAGATTGCTTTCATTTTATTAAGAATTTGAAATTGAAAAGATTACTAAAGTATGTCCATTTCTTTTTTTATTTTTATTTTTTATATTTTATTTTCCAATTTAAGTTTAGATAAGAAACAAGGTTGCTTCACAAGTCAGTTCCAGGTCCTTCTCCCTTTCCCTCATTTCTTATTGATAAAATATTTTTAATTTTTGTTGTATTTAAAAGATATAACATATTTTGAAAACACCATCAGGACATTGATAAAATATTTTTAGTTTTTGTTAGATTTAAAAGATACAACATATTTTGAAAACAGCATAAGGACTAAACCTATTTTCTGACCGTTAGCATAAGAAAAAAATTTAAAACATTCAAAAATTAACAAAATGACTATCTAGTAATCATATTTGTTTTGACATTAAGTTAAATTTTGTTCATGTCACATATTGCTTTCCTTTGTTGTGTTGTTTGTATTGACTTCCTAAGTTCTCAGGTGACATAATGGCTTGAGTACCATTAAATAAAGATCCCTGGCTCAAGAAAAATTTGCATAGCATTTGTCACTGCTCCAATGCTCTAGATATAAGCCCAGATTAGACACAAGACTTGTATAATCAATGCTTTAAAATGGAACAACCCATTTGAGTCAACTTTACATAAATATACCATCGATCTACAGATTTACTAATTACAGCTCCTCATTTTGAGCATGTCTGAAGCCTTTTTTACAAATTACATTTAGTCCACTTGATGGTATAATTTGATTATTTCATGATCGATATAAACGTGAGTAAGGAATTAAAGTAATGGTTTCTGTGAAGGAGCAATTTGCTTAATGCCTACTCAGAAGGAAAGACCACAAGCAGAACCATAAAACCCAAAATACCATCTGTGCACTTTTCACTAGAAGTAGACATGATAGATTTAAGGCATGGAAAAAAAGTAGAAGTGAGAAAGATTACATAGAATACAAAGTTCAGTTGGAGATAAAATTTACAGAATCTCTTATTGAGATCTATATTAAGGCTATTATCCAACTACCCCTAAAGCTATTTCTTTTTTCCTTGAAATTAATTAGTATTAGAAGGCGTATTCATTTGGGGTACCTTTGGATATAAGCTTGTTTAAAAATGAAAATGTGTGTGTGTGTGTGTGTGTGTGTGTGTGTGTGTGCTTTAATCAAGGGACAAAAGAAAGTCACAATAATACACTCATAGGACATACTGAAATTAGCTTTGTTCTATAAAGAAAGACTATGAATTTGGTGTGGAATATTAAAATTGAGACATTTTAGAATATCAAAGATATGTAATAAAATATGAATACAAAAGTTTGAGTTACAGAAGGAGGTTTCTGGATAAAATGACACACAATAGGCTAATCACGAAGACTTTTGTTGAAGAGAACATTACTGTTTCTTTGCAATCAGAAGGAAGAGCATGGTCTTAACTAAGGTATTATGCTGCGCAGAAGCCTTTTTATTAGTTATTAAGGTATTATGCTGCGCAGAAACCTTTTTATTAGTTGATGGGTTGTGATGGTGCTGTTGTGTGCTTAACATGACACTTAAACATCTGTGGAACTCTTCAAAGAACTTAAGACAACGAAGAAAATGAAATAAGCCCCATGAGCAAAGTTAGCAAAAAGGGGCAGAAGACAAAAAAAATAAAACATTTTAACATCTTTTGAGAATACAGAGGCAGCTTGAATCTTTAAGCAGAGGAAACTACAAAAATTTAAATTTAGGCCAGACATTGGTAGCGCACACCTTTAATCCCAGCACTCAGGAGGCAGAGGCAGGCGGATCTCTGTGAGTTTGACACCAGCCTGGTCTACAGAACAAGTTCCAGTACAGCATCCAAAATAATACAGAGAAACACTGTCTCGAAAAACCAAAAAAAAAAAAAATTAAATTTGGAAGTCCTTGGAGAAGTCGGTACTGGGATTACCATAAACTATAGAATAAAATAATAATAACAATAATAATAATAATGATAACAGCAATCACTTATAATACAACATTAACAAAAACACAAGTCAAAAACTGTAACATGAGTAAATAAAAAACCGAGAGACTGGTAATTGCAGCCCAAGCTTCCATCTGAAGATTAGAAAAGCAGATCAGCCAAGCCACTAGCTCTTAGTTCTAGCTCAGGCTGAAAGAGCTGATCCACGAGCTCTTTATCAAGTCTCAAACTGCTGCTGCCTCTCCTCATTGTGGCTGGGGAATGAATGTTTCCTATTGATATCTTGCTCCTGTCTTATATACTTCTCATGAGTACTGGGATTAAAGGTGTGAGCTATAATTCTCTTTTAGACTGGTGACCTTGGACTCATAGAAATCCATGTACCTCTTAATTAAAGGATTAAAGGCATGTACCACCACTTCCTAGCTTCTGACTGCTGGGATTAAAGATATGTGCCTGACTTCTATGGCTTGTGGCTGACTTTGCTTTCTGAATCTTCAGGCAAGCCTTAGTAAGTCACAAATAATATGCCACTACAAAAAGCAATACAGAATTTAACACATTCGACAGACAGATTCCAGTAGAAGGAAAAAGATAAGATAGGCATAAGGTCGTGCAAGTGGGTGCCCTGGGAAGCCCTGAGAAATAACTGTAAATAGCAAACTCTTGAGTTTTAAAGCTCAAGCACAGGATTAGGGCTGGGTAGAATACCAAAACAGAATTTATTCCCTGTTTTCAGCACAATACATTATCATCAAATATCTGCTACGATGTTCACATTTCTTACTGCATATTCTGAACCTAGGGAAGATTTTTCCCTTGGAATTTAATTTAGGTCAATTTTGGAATTCCCTAAATGAGTTGTTTCCATCAAACCTCTCACCTTGGGCCTCAAGGATCTATGTGGAAGAGGAGTCCAGAGGTGATGGATGACTCCATGGAAACATGTCTTCCAAACACAACAGACTGAGGGTTATATGAACCATATGAACTCATAGACACTGTGGCAGAACTCAAGACAGGCAGGGTCCCAGCCCTGAATGGAGGAAGTGGACATGGGCCAAACCTGCCTAACCAAGAAGTTACCTGTTACTGATACATTCTGAATAAGGAAAAATTAGTTTTCTTCAGGGAACTTTCATTGGATATGTTAACTACATTTCAGAGTAGTTCCCATGCCCTGGAGGATTTAGCCCACTCAAAATGAACTCAATGGGATTTTTGTTGATTATCTTTTAATTAAAAATATGTTTCTTTGGGCTTTTTTATTTTTATTGGTCTTCTGCCAAATATTTTGGTGTCCAATTTTGTGGTGTGTGTATGTGTACATGTGCCTCTGTGTGTTTGGTTTTTGTTGTTATGTGTTTGTGTTTTGGTTGTTTACTTTTTAAAGTCATGTAAATAAAGGGTATGGAGTTGGATGTGTAAGGTAGGAAGTAGGGAGGATTTGAGAGGGTGTGGAAGATTTGGACCAGGTGAAAAACATGATCAGATTATACTGTGTATGATATTTTTCAATAGAAACTAAATAAACAAAATAATACATGAAAGCAAGGATAGCAAAACTTGCCCATCCATTAACTAAAAATGCAAGTTGACTTAATGACAAATGAAACCTTCCACTCTTTGAGTTATAGGGATTTTGTCTAAGATTTTCAGTGTATGGAACTTAAACTCATATTAGTTGGCACTCCATCTATCCAAATCTGTTGAATCAATAAGTGACTGCCTATGTTGACAAACACAGAGCAATGCATAGATTAAATTCCATACAGCATGTATAGTACATATATTTACATATATAAGTATATTTACACACATATATGTATATAAATAATATATCTTAAACTCATGACAATTAATAATCTTATAAACCCTCAAGTAAAGGTAACTAATGCATTCTTCTGGACTTCACAGGTACTACACACACATAGTTCAGATATATACATGCAGATAAACACTGATAGACATAAAAATAAAGTAAATACAATTTTAAAGCATTTTAAGAATCAGTAGATCCGGGTGTTGGTGACACACGCCTTTAAACCCAGCACTTGGGGGAAGAGGCAGGCAGATCTCTGTGAGTTCAAGGCCAGCCTGGTTGATAGAGGGAGTTCCAGGATACCTCCAAAACAATACACAGAAACATATCTCGAAAAACCAAAAAAAAAAAAAAAGAATAAAGAAAAAAGAAAAAAAGAAAAAATCAGTAGAAGAGGTCATAAAAAGAAAGCAAAATCTAAAAGGAGAGTAATGTGAACCATTCAGCACATCTTCTCACACCAGGCATCTCCTTGTAGTGCTATATAAGCCAACAACTTTTAGTCAGTTTTAAGAGTTTTGCAGATATAAAGCTGAACTACATCATAGCATTAACAGTGCTCAAATGGTAACTGACTAAAACTCATGCCTGGCACTGATTTGAGAACTGAGCTTCTTCCTATATACAAGTGAAATTTGAGTTGTATTTTTTTCCTGCTGTGTCTGTCCTCTGATAAAACGCTGGGTGTCAGTGGAACATATATCATATATTCTGTTACATAGCATTAAAACTCTTATTTGTGTAATTAAAATTCAAGTCTCTGAAAAATAGATACAGTAGACAGTTGGCCAGCCTTTTTGGCAGAAGTTGTATTTAAGGGAAAAAAATACAGAAATAATTTCTCTACATGACTGGTTTGGATCTCTCGTTGCTAAGCCATTCCTGGTGCACAACGTGAAACTTTACCCCAAATGCATCCTATTTGGAAACAGAAAAAGCCTTTTCTGTTGTGAAAGAGTACAATGAAAAATGCATAACTCAACCTCAATTTGGATGACTTCAGTAATTTGCATTCATCTGTTTAAAGAGAGATGTCTTTGGAGACTCCTATTTTTACATAAAAATTACACTCAGCATCTCACAGGCTCTTTTGTTCACTAAAATTAGATTTGCTCACTTATACAATTCACAGGCCTCAATTTGTTCTGAGCAAAGTCACAAGTCACACATGCTATTTGTAGTATGCCCTTTTCTCTCCTAACTCCCTCAAAAACTTAAAAGATGATGTGGACTATAGTTGTCCCCTTACAGGAGAGTAACATATAGTGATTCCTGGAGTAGGTGCCTGTGGTTATAAGGTCACCTCTTCTTTACAAACCCCATCCTCCAAAAGTGCCAAAGAATACCATGAAATTGTGAGATTATTACATACTTCAGTGTTAATGAGATTTTTTAAAGGGACATCCAGGACACAATTCACTGAACCTGTGGCATCGGCAGCTCCAGACCTGCAACCTTATCATTCCATGCAGTTCTACCTCTAAATATCCTGAACAAACTGCAGATTGCTCTGTTTATCCCTGCTTCAGTCCATGTGGATGTGAAACTACAACTTTTTATTATTTAATTTAAATTAGAAACAAGTTTGATTCACATGTCAATCCCAGTTCACTCTCCCTCCCTTCCTCTCCCGTCCCTCTTCAACCATATCCCAATTCCTCCCCCAATGCCCACTCCACTCTCCAAGGAGGGTGAGGCCCTTCACAGGATATCTTGAAAGTCTGTCACATGATACAGGGCAGGGCCTAGGCCCTCCCCCATGTGTCCAGGTGGAGACAGCATCCCTCCACGTGGAATGTGCTACCAAAGTCCATCTGGATTACAGGGCTAAATGCTGATCTATTGCCTGAGGCCCCAAAGAATGCAGAGGACTCCTCAATGACACCCACGTTCAGGGGTCTGCATCAGTCCCATGCTGGCCACTCAGTCATCAGTCTGGGGTCTATAAGCTCCCCCTTGTTCAGGTCAGCTGGTGAAACTACATCAATGGGAAAACTATCAACTGAGCCATCAGAAAAAGGAAGAAAACTATGTCACAACAGAAAGACAACTAGCATATCACAACACAGTGATAAGTATAAAACAGTCACTAATAGTTTGTGTGTCAGGTAGTGTCTGCTTCTATTGCTTCAATTAAAGTATTTCATTAAATGGCATGGTGAAATTCAGCAGCTAGAAATAAAGTTGTAATTATATTCGGCTTTGTCTTAGCATGGTGTACTATTGTGGGTATACCAGTTAGCTCTTTCTAAGTGCCACCAGACAATGGTATCAGCAGCCCATCAACAATGCTGACTTCATAAACATTTGATCTCTGCACTTACAGAAAGTCATGTGCTGAGAAGATTTCTTCATTGGTTAATAAGCTACCCTTGCTGTCAGGATATTCTTAATAATTTTAGAATAGGTTTTTCCTATTTTCTGTTTTTGCTGGGCCCACGTATGTCTTTGAGCATCTGCACATCAGCAACTAATCTGGACCAGTGGTTTCCATATACTAATTGTTCAATATATACTTGCCCCCTCTTTATAATTTTCCTCTGCCTAAATACAAGGTAGACTTTATACTTTCTACAGCCTTCTTGATGCATATTCAATAGATCTGCTCATTTCATTTCCTATACCTGGCTTCATTCTCCAGAATCTCAAGGTTTGAATTTTAGTACTGGCCACATATGAAACACACCCTTTAACTATTTGGAACAGTCAAGGGAAATCTTCAAGCAAGAGAATTGCACTGATGTTTAGAGTTGAAGAAATAATGACACTACCTTGGATTGAAGTATGACTTTAGTGTTTAGCTCTAATATGCTTAGCACGGCCTCAACTGGATGCCGATCTAAACTCTACAACACCAAATCACACAATGCCTACGTTGTATCATTTCTAAAGACTATAAACACATTTCATCTTTGACTTTGAAATCTTACAAACAACATCATGTCAATAAATTCAGTGATAAACAATAATGAAAACAATAGAATAAGTTCAGTATACTGTTAAATTTAGCATTAATATGTATAAACAAGGGCCAGTATTTCATATCTAATTTCAAGTAAAACTGTTGGTGGAGCTTTCCTTTTGAAATTCTACCACTTGGTAATTATGATGTTTACAGTATACATTTTTAAATTTAAATTTAGTTTATTCACAGATACATAAATGTTTTATGTAATATAAAAGTGTACATTTAAATTCAGTAACAAGTGTTCTTTCAGCAGGTGTGCATGTTATATAAAATTTAAATTGTGCTAAATATCAATCTTTCAAATTTTTATTCTTTCTGTTTGTGAAAACATTACAAATCTTTGCTTCTTTCTGTGACACATAGTATGATATTATCTGCAGTCAGACTTCTATGAAATTCTTCACCTAGACAACAAAATCACACTGTACTCTTCCTAGAGTCAACTTTCCTCATGTTTCCCTCCTTTCCACTTTCCATATGTTCTTCTAATCAACATTCATAGGAGGATTGCTTGTGCAGGCTGCACATATGGAGCAGCTCACATGCTGCTTTGCTTTCCATGCCTGGCTCATGTCATCTAACATAGTGGCATACATATCTACCTATGTTTCTTTGCAAGTTAAAGAACATTGTTCTCATTAGACTTGAATAGTATTCCTCTGGGAAGGTTTACAGCATACTTCCTTGGTTCATCACTTGTTGGACATGATTCTTTGGAGATAAGAATGATGTTCTAGTAAATGAGGAAAGACTTCACTTCAGTGTAGTTGTCTCTGTTTCACTTATCCATTGGATATATATCCGTTAGTGAGACTGCTGTGTTATAGGGCAATTATTCATTATTTCTGTATTGTCATTTGATTATGTTTTTAGTCAGTAAATTGGAGTTAGTGGTGATGGCTTTTGTGTTTTGATTAATTTAGTTTGTTTATTTCTTTGTTTTGGTTTATTTTGTTTTTGAGATTTCCTGTGGCCCAAGCTGACCTTGTTTTCTTGATCTTTTGCCTCCTTCGTCCAAGAATTTGGATGGTACATGTCTGTCACAAAGTTCTTGTACAATTTTTTTGAGGGAATTCAGTTTTGTTTCTC